AGACACGCGATACTGACCCCGTCGCGACACACATATCAACACAATGCGAAAATACAAAGAGAACCTTAAGTTCTCTTCGTATAGCCAAGATTTTGGCTTTGACCCTTAAGGCAGGTCTATTTGGGAGACCAGCAGCATGACTCCTGAGCATCGAGGCCATATGCGACAAGCATGGGCTCGGTGGCCAGATCAGTCGGGTGCTCAGCTGGCGAGGAGAACAAATTAAATTTTGCCAAATCAGCAGCTGAGTGACCGAACACATACTTTCACTGTGCGAAGGGGCACCAACCTAGGTTGGTGCCCTTTCGTGCAGGGCACACACTTTCTTAGGGACATCAGGTCCCAAGTAATGCTAATGCCAAAGTAAATTCAGTAAAGTAACTAGGGAAAAAAGCTTATAGCTACCCCTTGATTTTAGGTGGCCTAATCCACAACCATGTAGACACGGAGGGTGTTGTTTATTACCCAAATCGCCCGACGTAAAGTTCATAAGCCTTCGCTGCGCATGTCAGACGTAGTGAAGGGGTGGAGGAAAAACCTGGGGGTCAGATAGGTACCAATCCAGAATGATTGATTCTTCTGGGGCGAGACCGGTTTGATCTTCGGACATGTGGATCCCACTGACTAGTAGTGGTATACACATGTCACTAGGGTTGGGTTGAACGCCTCGCGTGTGTGTGTGTGTTCAACCAGTAAATTATTTAAATCGTTAGATTAATTATATCGTAAGATAAATTAGTTAGATGATTTTTGCACTAAAATTCGTCCCTCTCCCAATACAAATTGACGTGTTTTTTTTTAATTTCGTAGAAATTCTTGATTTTTGAGTTTCTGGGGGTCAAATTTTTGTTGGAACACACTGCATGTATTTTTAGAACGTATAAACTTTATTTGTTTAATATCTTTAATAACTTTTGTATTTTGTTTTATATCTAAAATATTTTTTCCTGAAATTAAAATTTATCTTCATTTTCGATGTAATTCTATAAAATTATAAACTGATCAGACAATCGAAAATATATGAAAAATAATTCAAACTAAATAATTCTAATCAAATACCTTCAATGTTTTTTTTTCGTAGAATCAATATTGTCAGACACGACACCTTTATCCACTTGTGTTTTTAATTATTAGTATAAATATTAAGTTACGTTTTAAGTTATCTGATTTTTAAAATGCTAATCTTAAAATTAAAATTACTAACATACATTCGCTAGTATTATTTTTTGATAATTGTATTGTAATTTTTAAAATCTTTTAGCTGATAATTCTCCTTGTTTTAAAACTGTATTCTTCTAATACGATGATAATATTATCTTCATCTGTAGATTTAAAAAACATTACAGAAAAAGCTGTTTTTACATATCTCATATTTAAAACTGATATAAGAATTTGTTATCAAGAACAAACTGTTATCAAGAGAAAACTAACTAATATCATACTAACATACACCGTACATTGTAACGAATATTTTGCCTACCACATAGGGTATTATTATGGGGGTTTCAAAATTGGGGACAGAAATTATTGGCGTGGAGATAGGACTGGCAAAATAAACGAAACTCATGCGATCGGCTCTTAGGGTTTATTTGGAGTAGCTGCGTTGTGGATAAGTGAATGGCAAGGGGGCTGGATTGGGGCAACTTCTTCTTCTTTAAGTTCCATCTTCTATCGAAGGTTGGAAATCATCATGGCTATGCGGACTCTGTTGACTGCCGCTCTAAAAAGTTCTGCACTACTGCATTCAAACCATTCCCTTAAGTTCTTAAGCCAGGATATTCTTTGTCTTCCCACATTTCGCTTTCCTTGGATTTTGCCCTGCATAATAAATTGTAATAATGCGTATTTTTGCTCTCTCATCACATGTCCCAAGTACTCAAGTTTTCACCGTCTTTTAATAGTTAATATTATTTCCGCCTCATTTCCTGTCCTTCTAGTTACTTCCATGTTTGACATTCTTTGAATCCATGATATTCGTAGGATTCTTCTGTAACACCAAACTTCAAAGGCGGCCAACTTATTCAGATGAACTTGTTTTAGTGACCAAGCATCTGATGTTATCCATGTTCCTAAGTATTTATAGTTATTAACACTCTCAATTGCAGTATCCTCAATAGTCAATTGGATATTTGCATGTGCAGATTTAGTAATGATCATGCATTTAGTTTTCTTTAAATTTATCTTCAGTCCGTACTCATGACAGCGTTCATTAAGGCGTTGCATTACGTTCTGTAAATCATTGTTGTTATCTGTAATTATTACTGTATCGTCTGCAAAACGTAAGTTATTCAAAACTTGTCCATTGATAGATATACTTTCTATTGAGTCTGAGAGCGCTTCTTGAAATACCGCTTCACTGTAGACATTGAAAAGTAGTGGGGACAGTACGCAACCCTGGCGGACTCCTCTCTGTATTTTGATATTTTCGGTGTACTGGCTGTCAACTCTTACCTTGGCAGTTTGATTCCAATATAAATTAGATATAATTTTCAGATCACGACTGTCAATATTTTTGCTTTTTAATATATCTACAAGCTTTTTATGTTGAACTTTATCAAATGCCTTTTCAAAGTCTACAAAACATATGTACATATTCTGATTCATGTCCATGCATCTCTAAGCCAGCACATTTAAGTCGAACAAAGCATCTCTTGTACTCATACCATTTCTAAAGCCAAATTTTGTGTCACTAATCTCATATTCAAGAGTTTTAACAATTCTGCTGTGAATTATTTTCAAAAATGTTTTAAGTGTGTGACTCATTAAAGCTATTGTTCTGTGGTCTGAGCAAGTTGTTGAACTTGGTTTTTTGGGAATTGCTATAAAGGTTGATTGCAGCCATTGTCTGTGGATTGTGGCAGTCTGATATATTAGATTAAAGAGTTCAACCATTACATCAATAACTTCTTCATCGATGAGTTTTAATAATTCGATGGGCACCTCATCTGATCCAGTAGCTTTACCCTCTTTTGTGTTTTTGATGGCATAGATGACTTCTTCTCTTAATATTGGTGGTCCGGTATCCTCGGTGATTTTAATGACAGTTCTTCTCTTTCATCATTAAATAGTTGTTGAATGTAATTGGTTCAGTGACATAAAGTCTCCTTCATATCAGTAATAACATCCATTTTATCATTTTTAAGGATATTCGTTTTTGTACGCTACAATTACAAAAATGAAACAAAAGGGTACTTACATGAATCTCCTGGACAAATGGGCAAACAAAGCAACAGAAAGGACTTCTAGGTATTTAAAATGGTGCTCCGAGGTGTCCAAATTATTACTATTACAATAATTAGTTGTAACCATTGAAATAATTATTAGAAATAAAATATATATCTTTAAAAAAAACTCAAAAAAGTGTTTAGAGAGTTGGTTAAGATAAATAAACAAAATGGTTTAGCAAAAAATTAAACATTTAGGTATTGCTGTCTCACCATAAACAGTTACAAAAATAGACAATACAAAAATACTATATTAATAGTCACAAAAGTAAATACAAAAATAACAAAGAGAAAAAAAATCGTCCTGTGAATCACTTTCATCGTCGTCAAACATCAATCTTTGTAGTTCTTCAACATCTTTAGGTTCCTTAAAGTTATACTTTTTACTACAAATTGTCATCATAAGCGTATCTGCATCTAGGATTTCTGCATCTCGCTATCAATAATCGTCTTCAATTATTATTTTTATTACTTTTCTGTTTTAAACAATGCTGTTACTAAAATTCCGCTGTAGTTATCCCATATGATTTTATCCCCATTGTTTGAGAACTATTTTTATCACATTCTTTGTTAGCTTGACTTCTTCTCTTTTTATCTCTACACAATGTATTTATTCTGTGTTGTGGTATACCTGTCGAATATATTTCATTAATTCTTTGAAAAATGTTTCTAATCCCTTCTAATTCTAATAAGATAAATTTCTATGCTTCTGTATATCTTGTTCTCATTAAGCATGTATGCAATTCTTTAATTTAATGTTTTCGTACACAGAATATTTTAGTTTTTCGTCTAATCCTTGATGCAGTATTCTGATGCTCTCTTTTTAAAGGTCTGAAAAAGATGTACTTCACCAAGCATGTCTCAAGATGGAGAAAAAAAACGGGTGTGGCAGTCCAGTGGGACTGTCGGTAGAAATTATACTTCTATACACACGTTAGCCGTTACAAATTTATATGGAAGTCAATCTGCACAATCATTTCATATGTAATGCTATAGGTAAGAGAGAGAGCAGAAAGAGAAACAGAATTAGGTATATAGATATATGATGCATCGTTTCCTGTATATAAACAATATTTGACCTGTAATAGAAGTATAGTAATTTTTTTACACATACTCTGCAGTAAAATTCATTGTTTATTTTGTTACAATACAATACACTGCAACATAATTCAATGTAATAATGCAATACAAATTTAAATGCAATATTTATAGGTATTTAAAAATTACAATATACATAACTTACTTATGTATATGTTTAATTTACCATGATAATAATATTAATGAAATAAAAATATTGTTTCGTGATACAACTGTCAATTTGTCTGACATTGACAAATATAAAATTTAATTATTGTTTATTGTGTATATAAATACACATTTAAACTTTCTTGGGATATTTACAAGTTTTAATTTATAATTAAGCATGCCTAACGAGGCTCAAGACAAATCTGCACAGAATGGAAAAATAATAATAATATTAATTAATATTAAATATATTTACAAAAGGAACATTTTTATTCTCGGTGAGAGAAAAAACAGAACATATATCATCTGTCTCTCTCTTACCTATATCTTACATATGTAATGTTTTTTGCCGATTCACTCCCGTATAGAAGTATAACTTTAAAAATAAATAAAAAATAAAATACTTATAAAAGGAGAGCTCTATGACCAATATTAGATGTTTCAGGATTAGGAGATTTTGTTTTTCTTCCTTCTTGCTTTATAAAAAGTTGTATATTTTTTGTGTAATCGAAATAAAAGAATATTTTATTTATAACAATTTAATATACAAATAAATAAAATAGTTATAAAACATGTTTAAATAAATATAAAAATACTAGTATGAAACTAAAATCACAAATTAAATGCCCATCGAAAAGTTCAGATATAAATGTAGAAAACTGTTTAAAGAATATAGTAAAAGTTTCTTTTTAATCCCCTTCCATTTCACCTTCTTGAGCAAATTTTATGAAAACTTGTTCCAATGTTGTTTGACTAAAGCTATATTCTTCAATATTTAATGAACGCTTGGCTAAAATAAACATAAAAAATTTAAATAAGACCACACATCACATAGTGTCAAACAATCACACAAAAATTGTAAAAAATACATGTCTGTCAGTAGATATCATCGAGCAAAAAGACAAAAGAGGGAATGTAAGGGTAGTGGGGGCAAAAATATTGTTAGACAGGAAGTACCATCTTAAGAGGCCACAATAAACAAGGAAAGAGAATCTTTCCTTATTTAAGAAATCATATTTAGTTGGGATATGTTATTGTTTGTAACAACTGTCACATGAAGTCTTATTTATATTGAAGTTTCGGAAAATTTAAATTTGGCGCATTCGCATTTCCGGATATGTCCGCCATCAGAGGCATTAGGTTCCCTCTTTTGTCTTTTTGGTAGGTAGATTACACACATGTGCTCGATGGTAGATATACACACAGTGCAACAAGGGATATTTATACTAAGACATTGCCAATAATAATATTACTCTGCCATTGATTCCTTTTGTCATTTTTTTTTTCAATTTTTTGCGATTGATAGTTTGAGGTCAGATTTGAGAAAGTAAAATATTTCTTTCATAATCTCATATTTCTGTATTATTTCTATATCTGTGTATTTACAACTTTCTCGTCAATGTACTTTGTAGAAATTCTTTTCTGTTCCAATAAGTTATCGCTATACGCATTATATTTATCATACCCTCACTTAGATGTTTTCTTTGAGGAGATCTTTATTTAATAGAAATCAATTATTAAACGAATTAAAGAAATTAAACACTGTATTTGAAGAATTTTCGTTATATTTGATTTTGTATAATATACCCTTAGTGACCATATTTTCCTTTTAAGACGAAGCTTTAGCTTTGACGTAGTGAAGTGACACAGAACAAACTTAATGTTCCACAGACATAATCCTTCTTCGCTGATTCCATTACTCCATTACTTACTTCGTAGATGGTGTAGGTAGTCAGGTTAAATATTACATAAATAAAATTGTATTAATAATAACATTGTTATAAACATTATTAAATGCAATAAATTCAGTTTCCATAAATAATTTTTTTGTCCTTGATGTAAGCCTTATTATGGCTTTAAAATATTTTAGAGTGTGGATTAATCATTTACAATTACTGATAACAGTAAGTCATCGCACCCTGGGAGTGCAATGCGTTGTTGAGACTATTCTGCATTTAAAATGAAATTGTCTCCGCCCTAAATATTAAGGCAAATAATATCTGATCATAATCAAATCTAAAATATAGTAATGGCAGGATTAAAGGGACGATAAAAGAACGTGACTGGATTTAAATTGACTAACATTTTCAAATTTGGCGTTTGTGGATAGGGAGCACGAGGTAATGCCGTCATACGGGGCAATTCCGTCACTGAGTACTTTTCACAAAATATTAGTCCTGCACGCACCTTACTAACGCTGAGACATAGCTTCCGATTGAGCGTGCTTTGATCAGTACAGCTATTGCCGCTTTCAAAGTTAGTTCGTGCAAATATTAGTAAAACCGTTACACATGGTGTACGAGAGTAGTTCTGAAAAATCAATAGGTGACTCTGTTTGTTTATATATATTAATATATTTTAGTTTCTTATCGTGTGAAATGTAAAACACCAAAACAAAATTGTCTGCAGGAAAACACCGAGGAAAAATTCAATGTAGAATCACTGTGGAACAACTCTACAAGAGAAATGTACCAAAGGAGGCTAGCACAGAAGATACAGCTGAAACAAATAGACGACATCGAAGATATAAACGCTAGCCGGGAAAAAATTAAAAACAACATTAAAGAAGCAGCAACAAAAGGTCTAGGAAAACGCAAAGTCATACTGAACAAAAGAAACAACAACAATACACTATTGTTCAGAAAAGAAATAAAAAGAAATGTAAAGAGAATCGGAGGCCTACACAAAGTACAAATCATCAAATACCCCAGAATCCCGAGATACCTATAGAAGAATACGAAATGAACAAAGCAGTTGGTAAGAAGAACGAAAAATTACACTGAGAACATTTTACAAAATGGATGGAAAGCGACTTTTACCGTACACAAAAACAAATATGGAGATTCATAAGAAACCAACGGAAAGGAATGGCAGAATTAAAGGAATACAATAACATACCAGCAAACGAATGAGAAACATACCTGACCAAAGGCAAAGGAAAATAATAAATAACACAATAACGTACCTGAATTAAGACACAAAATAGAAATCGGTTTACAGGAAGTAGAAATAGCCATAAATTCACTCAAAAATAGAAAGTCACCATAACCAGACGGAATAAATAAACGAGATTCTAAAACACGGAGGAGAAAGTATAACCTAGACACAAAAACCCTGACAAAACTAATACAAAAACTAATATTGCACTGCGCGATACCAGACGTATGGAGAAACAGCATAATGATACCAATGTTCAAGAAATGAGATAAAGAAGACCCCAACAATTATAGAAGTATAAATCTACTGAACACCACACTTAAGCTTAGCACAAAAGTCCTAACCGACAAAATCAATAAACTTACAACTTTATCAGATGAACAACAAGGATTCAGATATGGAAGATCCTGCGTAGATGCAGCATTTGTAATAAGACAAATCACAGAGTGCCATCGAGTACAAGTGCCATCGAGTACAATAAACCAGCATATCCCTGAGCTACTATCGTGTATTAACACCCACATAACTACTATCGTGGGGTCATAGATGACCCGAATTTTAAAAACCTCTAAACAAGATAAAAATATATTTTTTATTGTTTTTGTATTTTTGACAAATGAATGTGTATATAAAAAAGAGATTTTTTGTAAACTTAAATTTTATTTCAAGAAAATTAAGATGCTATAACAAAAATTATAGAACTTTTAAAATAAATTTTGATCAAAAACATAACTCATTATTATAACAAAAAAAATATATCTTAAATTGAAATTAACGGTTCATTTTCTGAAAAGTAGTTTATAATAGTAACGTCTTAACCTAATATAAAAGAAAATCATAATAGAGTAACCATATAAAAAATAACAGTCATGTTTTTTTTCGTAATGTTAGAATCTTGCGACAAAAATATTTGAACAAATTGTAAGTGTTTATCTATTCTTTGCATATAGTACAGGTAACTCTCTGAAGTGAATGTGTTTTGCAGATGGTCCTATGACATTCTGCGCAAAATGTGGAATGTTTGTTATCCTTACCTCTGGGACACAAGTAGCATCTACGTCTTACAACTGGCCTTTCTGGTTTGGTCTGATCTAGATGAGTAATTTTATTTTCTAGTGCTTTGGAAATTATCGAGCGTAATTCTCTTGACAAATTTGGCATTGCAAATCTTACGTCTAAATGTTCATTTATAAGACTGGTTCCCAGCTCTTGAATAAAATCCGATCGATTTTTTCTAACCCCAGGATTAGCTGCGTGAAAAATAATGTGACTGTTTACTATAGCAATATCCATTATGGAATACCAAATTACTAAAGGCCATCGCTGGCATCTTCGACCTGAACGATAAAGTGCACATTTTTGATCAAGTGCATCAACGCCCCCTTTCGACGAATTGTAGAAAGCTATTATATCAGGTTTTTTGCTTTTCTGGTCAACAGATTTGTCGTGATGCATAGATGACAATATAATTACACTTTTATTTTTTTTAGGGACATATGATACGATTGTATTGTCTCGTGTAAAACCAAATAAACACTTATCAACTTCGTAATTTTTATTTGGTTAAAATTGTGAAGGAATTTCTCTCTTATTTTTACGCATTGTACCTACATAGGTAAGTCGAAGTTTTTTTAGTTCATAAACTAGCTTTATTGAGGTGAACCAATTATCACCAATGACATTTCGGTTACTATTGGCAATTGGTTCCACTAAAGCAAGTACTGGTCTTGTAGGTGTGGATAGCTTTTGGGCATTAGGATCATTTGTTTTACCCGTATACACAAAAGCATTTACCAAATAACGTGTTTTTGCGTCACATAAACACATGATCTTGATGCCGTACTTGACTGGTTTGGCTTTCATGTACATTCTGAAAGGGCATCTACCTCTAAACCCAACCAACATCTCGTCCACTGTAACATATTCGGAACAGGTGTAGTTTGCTGTACTGTTAGATACCAAACATTTAAATAAATAGGACATTGCTGCAAGTCGATCTCCATTGACCTTCTTTTGCTCTTTTATTTCATGATTGTCAAATCTTATTGCTGTGAGAAGAAATAAGAAGCGTTCTTTTGACATTGTAGCACGAAAAATTGGCCTACCTAAAACACTTGTCGAAAATAATGAATCGACATTCTCATGATTAGACTTTAGTACACCTGAGGGGTATAAATGACCCAAAAAAGCCTTAAGTTCACCTTCGTTTAGATGATCGACAAATGTACATGTATCCCCATAGTTTACACTGAGCTCGGTAATTTTTTCATTTGTGTACTCTAGAATAGAGGCCAACATGTCAGGAGTTATAAGAAGTGACCAGGATTCAAGTGAACTGGATGGTTTTGTTTCTAAGGTAGGTCCGCGAAGACCAGGAAGGTGTGTAATAATGTTCTGTGCGCGAATTTTTGATGGGGCCGGAGCATTTTTAGCCCACTTATATCTATTCCGTCCATAGTAAAAATTTGTTTCATTATTAGGTGCTGTTTCACATTCGTCGCTTGATAAGTCACTTACGTCAATTTCTGAATCTGTGTCGTGAACCGAATGTTCACTTTCAGTGTCAGTATCACTATTATTAGAGTCACTATAAATGTCATTATTTTCGGTTGGTTCCTCCAGAGATTCGAGAAAGTCAAGAACATTTTCACTTGTCTCCGTACTTCCGCTAATTCTTAAAGCCATTTTAATGTACTATCTTAAATAATAATAACGTAACTACTATGGTGGGGTCAAATCCGACCGAAACTCAGCAGCACGTGTGCACTATTCCACTGATCGTTTGCTACTAAGCGGCATGCTAAACTACGTACTTAATTGGGAGAATACATAGAATAACAAGGTCGTTAGCCAAAGCCAAACTGTCTACCAGTGGCGCACGAAATTTCAAGTCCTGGGGTCAAATTTGACCCACGATAGTAGTTCAGGGATATCTATGTTTTATAGAATTGACAAAGGCTTTCGATCGCATGCAAATCGAAGACGTCTTACACCTACTGTATAAAAGAAACATACCAATCAATATTATACAAACCATCTAAAACATCCACCTCCATAATCGAATATAGGCAAAGATAAATGGAGAACTAACACAGTAACACCATTATTATAATAATGTACGAAATAATACAAGCAGTACGTAAAGGTTATGACTACAGAATGGGGAACAAAGAAATCCAAATATTATGTTATGCAGACGACACCGCATATCACCGAGACAAAAGACGAGCTCCAAAGATTAACACATATCGTGAATACAACAGCTAAGAAATACAATAGGATAATCTCAGCAGAAAAAACTAAATGTATGACAACATCTAAATACCCACTATGGTGTAAAATCGAAATTGATGGGAAAATAAAAAAGCAGGAAGTAAGGTTTAGATATCTGGGAATAGATATAACTAGTTACGGAGATGCTGAAGCTTTTAAGCTACAAAGTAAGTAAGTAAGTAAGGCGGCGGGATCTTTTAATGACGCAATCTGGAAAAACCAACATCTAAGATAAGACACAAAACCAAGAATCTATAAAGCAGCAATTAGACCTATACTAACATACACGGCGGAAACAAGACCTTGACACATCTAAAACGAGACGACTACTAGAAACAACAAATGAAAATACTCTGACGAATATCAGAGAAAAGTCTGTTGGATAGGGAGAGAAGCGAAAACATAAGAAAAACATGCAATACAGAAGACATAAATGGTCGGGCGACCAAACGAAAACAGGAGTGGAACGAACACATCAGTAAAATGGCAGAAAATAGAATAGTACAAATAGGATGAGATAAATCACAAAATGGACGAGGAAGTATTGGCAGACCAAGAAAAAGATGGTGCGACAATTTAAACAATTTATAAAGCTAATATTGAAGATGAACTATACTTTAAAGCTTACATACAATAAGGAAGAAGAAGGGGAAGTGAAATGTGAACATACATAGGCTGACAGAAAACAACCGGCATCTAGTTGGACGATTGGGTTATCTTAATGATTTAAGATAACAAAGATTTAATGGCACATTTAAAGATATATTGCAAGGGCTCCAATTGTAGTTACAGAGTGGATGTAAAATGCAATACCTAATTTTACCAGTATAAAGAATTTTAAGAGATTAGGTCATCCTAACCTGAAAATATTAAATCTAATAAATAAAGTACCTTGTGGTAATTCTAAACTCTAGGCTTACTTGAAATCGGCAGATAAAACGAATACTCTCGGGTGATTGCCTTAATGGTATTGTTACGTTTTTCTGTGAATTAAAAGATTAAGTGAAGCCAACATAGTTAAACTAACTTTATTTTATCTCCAAAAACTAACTTAATTCAAATATCATAAGTTCTGATTTAATAAATAGTTCCCGCTTACAATTCACACTGATATCACTTATAAAAAATTTGCCAAAACTAATAGTCAAAGGCTACCTGACGACGGCCGAATCCACACGATAATACTAAATTCCAGGACGTTACTAGCGACCAGAATATGTCCCCATTGATACAAATGGTGCGTGAAATATTCGCAATGAAAAGAGTATTCTCAGCTTCGTTAAAGCACAAAGCACAGGAGTTTGTAACAGCATATTAAATGTAATGTGGTGTGAAAAAGTGATCTACCAATAGTCCAGGCTGTGAGGCCGCTCCCGTTGGGAAAATGTTTCTGATTCGGTTTCTTCGCGGATTCCGGTTTAAAAATGTCCCTTTAAACAAATCTGAAGAGTGCCGGGCGAAATTTTTGGGCAGAAATTGTTTAAAAAATTTTTTTTAAACAAATTCCAAAAATATTTTTTTTTAATCTGGAAAACATTTTTTTAGGTTTTTTGGGTTATTTTAAACAAAAAAGATCTCTTGTTATTTTTCTCTAAAGTTGATAGTTTTCGAGTTATAAGCGATTTAAAGTCTAAAAAACGCGAAAATACGCATTTTTGAGGCTTGAAAACACATTATTATTTTTGAGGTTACCAAGTGTCTAAATTGAAGTTTAAACATTCAACTTCAAGATTGTGAAGAGTAATTGGGCTTATTTTAATTTAGACCGTTGCTTTTTAATTGTTAAATATGCGCGTACACTCGATTTTTCAGCCGCCGCGGCGCGGCGCGCTAGAGTGCGCTTCTATCGTACTTATGCATAGTTTACATATACCCTTACGCAAAAAAACCCGAACAAATCCTTGAAGTTTATTAACATAGTTTTTTCTATAATTTATTTATGTAGGTATTAATTATTGTCATTGGGCTAATTAAATAAATCAATCATCGCAATGTAATAACCGTATATAGTTTTTTTTTCTTCCAAATTTGAACAATATAATTATTATTTATTAGGTATATATTTATTTATATCAATTGTAAATAATATTTTTAAATTATTATTTAAATAATACAATGCAGTAAATATTAATATTAGTAAACTTAATTTTAAATTGCGCGGTGTTTAAAAACAATTTACTATCGCAAAAATGCAAGTTTTTACCTAATTTAACAATCGCGCGCTCGTACTTGATTTGTTATTACTTAAACGATCATTAGGAAGACTATTGTTTAATGCCCATTAAAAATTGTGAATGTAAAAAAAATTGAAAATGTCTTTTTCCGTACCTCTTCTTAAATGAAAACTTACCGAAGAAAATTTAGTTTGTATTTTTTGTAATAACATCAACAATATAAAGTTCAAAGTTTAATATTAAGTGCAAAAACCTAAAGTAGATTTTTACATAACAATACAAAATGCTGCTCTTCGACGAAAAGACAGTGTGACTGAAAAATTTAATTTAATCTAGCCAATATACCTTGTACCTCTGACGCACTTTACCAACACTTGTTAAGAGCTTTCGCTAAAACATATATTTTGGCGAAATGCCATATATTCCCGCTATCAAACTCTCGATTTTACACAATATGGATATTATATGTCTGATAGTGGTGGGTTGAGAAACCGTGCAAATGCAAAAAGACTTGCAAAACTAATGCTTGCAACTGCAAGAGAAATCATGTCAACTGTGTACCATTATCTGGATGTGATTTACATTTTTGTGGAAACAAAGATACTTTTACTGAGTGATATTAGTGTGTTATTTAACAATATTTTGTACAATTATTTTATGTAACTATTATTAGACTTTAGACGAAATTTATATTATAACTTAATTGATATAAATAAATATATACTCAATAAATAATAATTATTTGTAAGTATATGTAAACTATGCATAAGTGCGATAGAGGCGCACGGTAGCGCGCGGCGCCGCGGCAGCTGAAAAATCGAGTGTACGCGCATATTTAACAATTAAAAAACAACGGTCTAAATTAAAATAAGCCCCGATTACTGTTCACAATCTTGAAGTTGAATGTTTAAACTTTAATTTAGATACTTGGTAACCTCAAAAATAGTAATTTACATATGTGTTTTCAAGCCTCAAAAATGCGTATTTTCGCGTTTTTCAGACTTTAAATCGCTTATAACTCGAAAACTATCAACTTTAGAGAAAAATATCAAGAAAATTTTTTTGTTTAAAATGGCCCAAAAAACCTAAAAAAAACGTTTTCCAGATAAAAAAAAATATTTTTGGACTTTTTAAAAAAATTGTTTTAAACAATTTCTGCCCAAAAATTTCGCCCGGCACCCTTCAGATTTGTTTAAAGGGGACATTTTTGAACCGGAATCCGCGAAGAAACCGAATCAGAAACATTTTCCCAACGGGAGCGGCCTCACAGCCTGGACTACAAGATACAGGCCTAAAGTATATTTTCAAGTAAATCTCTTAAAAAATAGCTCCTCATCGTTATTTATAATAAAACGTCACAAAAACATAAAGAGCTACTTTAATTTAGTTACCAAAAAAGTAGTTATTTAAATTTCATTGTTTATGAAATATGTTGAGGGAGCCGGTATACGGAAAATTTATACAACATTGCGTAAAATTCAGTAAAATTAAAATTCAATTTAAATTAAACAGAACAGACTTTTTAATTTACTACCTTATAGTTTCTGCATGTTCAAGATTATACATCTTGATCAGAACAAATTATTTATAAATGTATTGTTATTACAAAATACAAGCATGCATTTTAATTATAGTTTAGTAAAACGCTGAAATATACAAACAACTATCAATTAGTCCACTAAAAACTTACCGTTTTCTAAACTTTTAAAACACCTGGCAAGAGATCGAACGCTATCTTGTGGTATACTGAATATAAGCCTATCGCCAAATGTGTCTTGTAACACTGCATTGGGAAATAGACCGAACACAAAATTTTTTAGGGCTCTAAACTTCTCTTCTGTATCACCAGCTCCTTCACTTGTCAATTTAATTTCTAAAGTATATCCTGCTCCGTACAAATTTTTAAGATGTTGTGTCGATCCCAAGCATCTAAAATGTCCATAAAAATAAATATGTGTATGAATATGAAAGTCTTATTCCCAATAAAAATAATAATTGCTTTAAGATGCCACAAGAAAATTGCTTCAGAAAAATATTAAATTTGATTTCTCCTTTTACTTTTGTACTTTCAATACAACTATTGTTTGATTTGTTTCTTCGCTTAGGTATATTTTGTATTCCTTTTTTTTGCAATGCCGATTGTTCCTTCTGTCGAGTGTTTGAATGTTCTTTTAGATCAGTTCCATAACTGATCCTGTAGATCAGTTCCATAACTGATCCTTTAGGTCAGTTCCATAACTGATCCTTTATTTCTTTCTTTTCGTATTTATCATGTAATTTATTAAGGTTTATTTCCATCCTGGGGTTTTCAAAATCGTATTTACTTCTCAAGCATTTTTTTTTCTCTTGTCTGAATTCAGCAATTTCATTATCTTTCTTTTTACCAGTAAATGATTCTGTATCACCACATCGGTGATTTTAGTGATCTAATCTATAAAAAAATTATTCATCATTAGCAGGTACCAACCTTAGCTCTCCCTTTACCATAATACCAATTCTAGAACATAAAGCGTCAGCTTCTTCCATAGAGTGAGTAGTTAGAATGGCTCCCTTTGAACCCTTAAAAATAAATATAATTTTTAGACGCCATTAAAACGAAATTGTTTAAAAATATAAAGCAACCATATTTAGTCTTAACGTAGAGTAAGTCGGGGCAAAGTCGGGGTACATCTCAAATATATAAAAAAAAAACAACTAAAAATTATATGTCGACAATTTAAAAACCCTAAAAGTTCACTTTTTGTAATAATAATAATAACTATTATTGGTAAAACGAACATTATTTATTATTTTTTACACAAAACGAATTTTTTCATGACCCAAGTGAGTTGGGTGTGTTAACACTTCCAAAATCTCTTTGTAAACAACACTAATATCATCTATCTAAGAGAATATAAAAATGTCTTTATGCTGACTTTAATTTCTCATGAATTTTACTTTAAAAACCACCTGAGATTTTATATTTAAGATGTTTTAAACTTTAGCAGCAAATTATCTTTTACTTTATTATCTTCAGTGATAAGTAGTACCCATATAAAGGCGCATTCCTATATTTCCTTTTTTCTGATGAAGATTCTGAAGATATGAAGATGAGAAAATTTACTCTTGTTCCTTATTTTTCTTCTTATGTTACTTTTTTCTTTCTTTAGTAGCCGCAGTTTTGTTAGTAGGCATTTTTGAGAATAATTTCAGGTCATTTATATATGTAGACAAAGTTATTACAGATGTTTACCGGTTCTTCTTCTGGTTTTAGTTTTTTTTGTTTTCCTCAATCTGATTTTGGAATAGGCATATTTTCAGCTGACGATCAAAATATTTTACATTGTATCTTAGGAGAAGTTACTTGAGTAGATGTGGATGGAAGTCTTTCAATACCAAATTTGGTAGGTGTTGAGATGTTTTTAATTCTACAGCTTCTACTCTATTCGATTGTGGCTATATAGAAGTTGAAACAATTGTTTTTTCTGCGCTAGTTAATGTAGAGGGTAATGGCACCTGAAGACAGTTGATGTATATTTTGATTTTTAGTTGTTACATGAGCTTACGTAGATGAAAGACATTGGTTACTATCGTGTTTTTCAGTTAGGGATTATTCTAAAGTTTGTGCTTGAGCTGATCTTAAAGCCCTTAAACTTGCAAGTTATATTTTTTCATTATTAGTTGATATAGATCGAAGTGTCTGTGGGTCATCTCTAGTTGTTGTTTTGTAACGAGAACGTTACTATAACATTCCGTAAACATTTTTTAAATAAATTTTAAAACTTCAATCCTTTTAATGATTTTCTGAATCTTAAAATTTAAGTTGGTATGAAACAGCGACACCAAGCGTCCAAGTTTGAAATCATAGTTTAGCTAGCTCAAATAGAGTACCCGAAGCGCACTTCTGTTTGAACTTTGATGGCAGAAACTTGAGTCCAAGGTAGGGGCCAGACGTGGCGTGGCTTTTGGAATTTAACAGTTTTTTTATGAAGAAGTAATAGGTAGTTTTAGTTTTTGGTTTTTTTTTTTTTGTTTTTAGTGTCCTGTTTGGTTTATAGCCACTGTGAGCCGTAAGTATCCAAGTTATAAATAAAACGAAAATAAAAAAAGTCATCAGCCATTTTGAGATCCTGTATTGTCAGGTTTCAATTCGATATACTTATCTGAACTTTTTTTCCATCCGTCATTAAGAAATATTCAACATCTAAATAGAAAGTGTTAATTGATTTAAAATCATATGTATTTTAATTTTACTTCCCGGCCGTAAAACATAATTATCTATCGGTAAAATTGCTATTAAGAGTATCGTTAAAATATTCTGTCTTATATCGCTCTTTATAAATATTATAAAATATATTCGTATCATATGCTTTTCATTAAAATTGTCGATATAATTAATCCATTTAAATTGTCAAACCATACGACGGTCAAATTATCTATAAAACCATTAAGTTTTTTTTGCTCTCACAATTCATAAGTAACATTTATAAAACCTTTCAAGGTTCATAAACCTTGTGTTTTTTTCCTACTCTGTAAAGTATAAGAAAGAACTCTAGAAGAAATGTTTTTTTAGCCTACCTTTGGGAGTCAAACAGAAGTCGGGGAAAGAATTTGCTTTGGTTTTTTTTTAATAATTTTGAATAAGAAGTACCTATTAAGTTGAAACCTAGTCCAGTTATACCTGGTTCCAGACCTGTTTTTTTTCCTTGCCGTAGCTGCTTCCCAGAGGTTTAGATCTGACCTTCCGATTACGAAACAAATTTTAGGAAACCAGCGGGAATTATCTCCCTTAAAATATAGTAAATCTGGATTAAGTTTATTTCTTAGATTTATTTTTTTTACCTATAATATTTTTTGTATAATTTTTTTGTATATTTAACTTCTAGTATTTCATCTAATAATAAGAGTCGTCATTTTTTAAATAATTTACTGAATAATATTTACATACAAATTGTCAACTACAGGTAGAGGCTTTTAAGTCCTCCCTTCTAACTCACTTGTATGGTTTCTTGTGTACACATTTAATCAGAGAGGTATTTTTTTTTTAGATTTTATTATCAATATATATTTAAACGTTTGGACACTAACCTCGTCAAGATAGTATCCTTATTACTTGTTACTGTTATATTCAATAAAGCCAGAATACAGAGTTGCATCTCTGAGGCAAATAAATTACCTTTTTAGGTCAATTATTACCATTTTTTTTTTTCATATTTTATTATTTGTAAATTTAGATCATCCAGGATCAGTTGTATAACCAGGGCATTTATTTTTTTTTGTATATAATTAGATTAGCTGTACTTAATGGGTGGTGGGTATATTAAAATTAGATTGTATATATTTGGCTAGGGATTAAAGTTTTGGTGAAAACTAAATATTTCAATTCATACCTATATCCTTTCTTTATTTCAGCAAACAGCTTTACAAAATACCTTGGAAAGTTTATGTAAATACTTTCCTGGGGCCCACTCACATTTTGGAGCAACTTCTACAATCACTTTTATTTATCTTAGTTATATACCTATAGATTTTTTTTATAACCTTGTCATTCATTTTCTAATTCTACGGTCTCTGTAGGGCATGCAAATTGGCCGAATTCTCCTTTGAGTGTCAAGTAGTCACTCTCCGGCACCTTCTGCTAGCCAGCTTAAATTATACATTATCCTTTCCATTATCCTACACGTTTTGTTACATTGGCGTGCAACAGCACAAATCATTTTTGTTACAGTTTCTGCGAGTTCGAATATATTTTTTCTGGAAAAATATAAGCATTCAATGGTCAAATGCGTTTCTTGGCAAAACCGATGGTAGTATTTGTGGTGTTGTAGCTCTTCAATACGCTTGACCAAATAACGATCCAACATTCTGAACATTGACAATTTTGTTAACCAATGTTAACAAAATATTTATTAACCAATCTTTTAATTGTTTGTTGATAATATGCATTCAAAGGAAATATTATAAACGCTATATCTAATGGATCCCATGGGATGTATGAGGTGACAGTACAAAAATATTATATGAATATCATATGTACGTTTGTTTCTTTATTCCTGTATTTTTCTAACAGCTGCCTTATAATGAAAATTTCGCCTGTTGTTGATCTGCCTTGCATAAAGCCAAACTGATTATCAAATATTTCGGTTTCTTGACGTATCGTCAATTACTTTCTCCCATATTTTCATGGTGTAACTTAGTAGTTTTATGACACTGTAGTTTGTATATTGTTGTACATCTCCCTTGTTTTTGTAGACAGCTACTAATACACTGCTTCTCCATTCGTCTAACATTTGTCCAACTTCCATAATTCTTAAAAATAAGCCTGTTAACCAAATTGTCCCTGTCTCTCCTAATGCTTAGGAATATTAACTATTCCAACTGCTTTTCTTTTATTTATTTTTTGAATTGTTTGAGCATTTTCTTCGTTTATTATTTCGGTGACCATTGCTATTCCTGTCCCGTTAACTTAACCGGTTGTCTATGAAATTCTTCATTTGATAACCTATCAAATTATCTTTTTTATTTCTTTTTGACAAGCTATTAAATGAAAAATTTGGCAGACAACCAGTTGAGTTAACGAAGGCACTAACAGCAATGGTGACCGAAATAACAAACGAAGAAGTGGCTCAAGAAATTAAAAAAAAACAAAGAAAATAAAAGCAGTTGGACCAAATGATATTCCTGGGGAAGTGGAAATCATTAGGAGAGACAGGGACAAATTGATTTTATATACTCCACTAGGAAACTAAGTTCCTGTAGCTGGCTGTATACCATATATCACAAAAAATTTTATTTGAAATCCTTTATAAAAGGTATATAATAATAATTTAATATAATTATATTATATATAATATATATATATATATATATATATATAATATATATCAATATAATATTATATATTAGTCCAGGCTGTGAGGCCGCTCCCGTTGGGAAAATGTTTCTGATTCGGTTTCTTCGCGGATTCCGGTTCAAAAATGTCCCCTTTAAACAAATCTGAAGGGTGCCGGGCGAAATTTTCGGGCAGAAATTGTTTAAACAATTTTTTTAAACAAATTCCAAAAATATTTTTTTAATCGAGAAAACGTTTTTTAGGTTTTTTGGGTCATTTTTAACAAAAAAGTCTGATGTCATTTTTCTCTAAAGTTGATAGTTTTCGATATATATCACAAAAAATTTTATTTGAAATCCTTTATAAAAGGTATATAATAATAATTTAATATAATTATATTATATATATATATATTATATATATATATATATATATATCAATATAATATTATTATATATTAGTCCAGGCTGTGAGGCCGCTCCCGTTGGGAAAATGTTTCTGATTCGGTTTCTTCGCGGATTGCGGTTCAAAAATGTCCCCTTTAAACAAATCTGAAGGGTGCCGGGCGAAATTTTCGGGCAGAAATTGTTTAAACAATTCTTTTTAAACAAATTCCAAAAATATTTTTTTTAATCGAGAAAACGTTTTTTTAGGTTTTTTGGGTCATTTTAAACAAAAAAGTCTGATGTCATTTTTCTCTAAAGTTGATAGTTTTCGAGTTATAAGCGATTTAAAGTCTGAAAAACGC